TTCTCAACACCGCTAACTAATCCTGCTTCTTATGATATATTCGTTGGGGCTTAACAATTTTGAAGCCAGTTCGATCAGCAGCCTCGTGCCTGTTCAAGACACGTATCCCATAGGTAATCTGGTGTCATCTTAATATATACTTCAGCGCATATTCGAATATAGCTATAGACCATGTGCCAATGGAGTCTGCTATCAGAGCACCTAGGCACTCAGTTAACTACCAGTCACCCACCTTTAACGGACAGCCGGAATAGGTGCTTATATATATGGCTGATATTTGGTATACCATGACTTCAGTGGTATGTCAATCCGGTATTCGGCGTATCACTTAATTAGTTGCTGCCATCATGAGAAGACATTGAATCTCATTTTGACATCTAATTAAGGCTTCTCTTTCGGAGAGATGGATGGCGTAGTGTCAATGCCGGATCAGTCTTGTCTATAGGCACGGACCAATTCAGGCTAAGTTCTGCTGATATGCAAGGCTGTGGGTTCAATTCCCATGGCTGTACCATAAGGTGTTGTGGGAATGGTAAAGGGTTGATTTTCTAGGTCAATAGCAGCTATTCTTATCTTGAAATTTATAAGTAACGGCAGCTATAGAGGGTATCATTATGCCGTTGGTAACTCTTATTTTCTTTCCTTATGGGCAGCGTAGAGAATAATCAGTGTTTATATATTGGTATATTCGATCTGCGATATTCTGTCCTGAAACGTAATATGGATCGCGTTGCTCTGCCACGTAGAACATGTTTGCAGCTTCACTATAGCTTGTCTCGACGTTTATATATGGATGAAGATGAAGATGAAGATGTTTTGATGTCTTTGAAGAACAAGTTAGAGTTCTTACATAATCATACGCTTAAACTCAAATCTATGACTAAGCTTCTACATCACGTGGTGGCCCAGCTCCCATGTTTCTAATTATGGAAGCAGACGAGAGCAACTCAACTACTTCGTAGAATTATTAGTTAGCATTGAATATAACAATTTGGAGCTTTGGAGGACATCGCAGTTATAGGTAATTCTAGACTTGAACTGTTACAAGTCGGATATCCACAAGAGCATCGGCTTGTTGGTAATATTTGGATATGAGTGCACGGAAAACATCACTATTCCATGATAAAAGGAGCTCCACAAAGGCAGATATTTAACCGTTTAATGAAAGGTATAGACGCTATACATGGCTAGGAGCAGAAAGCTGAAACAATAGTGGGGATAGAAGACGTAAAGACGAACCCTTACCTCCCAAACCAGGGTAGAGTATGGGTGTGAAAAGGTATGTGTGTGATGAATATGTAGGTATTTGCGAAGCCGAATCACCATTTCCATGCCGTTCCATTCCTGACAACAAAAGCCAAAGCCAGGCGCGCGAGCTCCATCCTTTTCAACGCCAAACAAAAGAAGAACAAGGGAAAAAGGGAAGTTGAAGAGAAAAGAAAAGAAAAAGGTACATCAAACAAGCTGCAAACAACATAAAACACACACTGGTACACTCTGCTGAAGGAGCATATGATCTTGTTGGCGAGAAGACGGCTTACTTCGCAGCGGTTTTCCCAGAAAGACCGATAGCCATCTTTTCTCTCTCCAGCTTCTCTTTCTCCATCTGTAGTCGATCGGCCTTGGTGATACGTGGTTTTCTGGCACCGCCGCGCCCAGCTCCTGATTTACTGGCAGAAGCACCCTCGCCGTTTGGGTGACTCGTAGTGGTATTGCTGCCTGTCTGTCCGCTACGGCCGCGAGAGGATGTGCCTGAGTTACCATGGGTGGCGCTGCTTCCTCCACCGCGGCGGCCACGGCCACGCTTCGTAGTTCCATCAGCTCTAGAAAAGTAGATAGTTAGCATTGTCATACATAAACACATGGGCCAGAATGGAGGCATGGTAGAACAGGGGACGTACTTTTCAACGGAGACCTTATCGCCCTCCTGAACTAGTAGCCCCGAATAAACGAAAAACCCGTCTTTGCATGCCGCCGCCTGTTCTTCCCAGATTAACTCGCTGTCATCAACAAAGGGGTCATCACGATCGTATTCTTCGATCTTGCGTCGCCGGGCCTTTTTGCCGTCAGCGTTGGCGTTCGGAGTAGCGCCAGCGGTGGCTTCGTCCGTGCCATTCACCGTCGATGCGTTTGGACCGATGCCAGACATGTTGATGTCACCGTCCGCATCGCTATCGCGATCCTCTAGAGAGAGGTCGTCTTCCGCACCGCTTTCTCCTCGACCAGCACGTTCGGATTTCTCAAGGACGGCACTGGCGGCTGCTACACGTGCACGGCGTTCTTTCTGCGCCGCAATACGTGGGTGTAAAGCGTCAAAGCCGTACTGCTCTTCTGCCATCCGGGCAAAGTTTATGACCAGATTCGATTTGCCCTCTAGAGGGATATGTAGGATAATGTTGGGA